TTTGGCTGGCAATTTCTCTCTGTAAAATTAATAATAATAATAATAATAATAATGATAGTAATAATAATATTAATAATAATAATGAAAAGAAACAGCTAAATAATAACATTATTATTATTATTATTATTATTATTATTATTAATATTATAATAACAATAATTATAACTGTAATAATAATAATAATAATAATAATAATAATAATTATTATTATTATTATTATTATTATTATTATTATTATTATTATTATTATTATTATCATCACCATCATCATTTGGCTGTTAAAATTTCCCAAATTCCCTCTGTAAATAATAATATTTTTAATAATAATAATAATAATAATAATAATAAAACAGTCAATTAATAACACATATTATTATTATTATCATCATTATTATTATTATTATTATCATTATTATTATTATTATTTTTTTTTTTGGCTGTTAAAATTTCCCAATTCCCTCTGTGAAAATAACAACAACAACAACAACAATAATAATAATAATAATAATAATAATAATAATAAACAAAAGCATCCAAATATTAACAACTATATTATTAATAATAATAATAATAATAATAATATAATAATAACAATAATTATAATAATAATAATAATAATAATAATTATTATTATTATTATTATTATTATTATTATTATTATTATTATTTATTTATTATTATTTTTTGGCTGTTAAATTCCCCAATTCCCTATGTGAAAATAATAATAATAAAAGTAGTAAACAAAAACAGCCAAATAATAACAGCATTATTATTATTATAATTATTAATATTATTATCATTATTATTAGTATTAATTGTATTATTATTATGTATTTATTTATTAAATATTTATTGTTATTATTTGGCTTTTAAAATCCCCCAAATTCCCTTTATAAAAATGTGTAATGATAATAAAAATAATAAAAAAACAGGCAAATAATAACAACAGTTATTACTCTGTTGTTGTTGTTGTTGTTGTTGTTGTTGTTGTTGTTGTTGTTGTTGTTGTTGTTGTTGTTGTTGTTGTTGTTGTTGTTGTTGTTGTTGATAATCCTCAAATTACCTCAGTCAAAATCTTTGGCTCTGTCTTGAATATTGTCTTAAAGTAAAAAATAACCAAACAACAAACTTTTAACCGGACTGTGTTTGTAATAAAAATGCATGCAAGTTACTCATTCATTCATTCATTGATTTTCTTTTCGGCTTAGTCCCTTTATTAATCAGCAGTCACCACAGCGGAATGAACCGCCAACTTATCCAGCAAATTTATTTTTCAGCGGATGCTTCCAGCCTAAACCCAACACCAGGAAACATCCATACACTCTCACATGCACACACATATACTACAGCCAATTTAGTTTATTCAATTCACCTATAACGCATGCCTTTGGACTGTTGGTGAAACCGGAGCACTCAAAGGAAACCCACGCCAACACGTGGAGAACATGCTTGCATGTAAATTATTAAATATTTAATCGTGCTTTAAGCTTATTTTACCCAACAATGTTGTTATTTCAGCCAAACAAATACGCCTACAATCCATCAGGTCTCCACCCCTTTCGCTATTCAGCTGTTGCTAGACCCTAAACCCAAACCTCACAGTAATATAAAAACAGTAATTATGCAAAGTATTATTCACTATTTATTACATTACCTAATCAATTGTATTTTAATACAACTAACTAAACAGTAATTATTATTGTATGGTAATTGTATTGTTGTAATAATATAAATAATTATCGTTAACTTCTCACCACTCTAGACTTTACTCTCCGCTATAGTTACAAGACACGCCCCTTTTATTGCTGATTGGCTGCAAGTGTGTTTGGTGTTGGTCCATTACTGTTGCTTAAAAGCAATTTCCAAATATCTTTTGAATGCTCCTTCAATGGAATAATGGCACATTTGCATATTTTAATATTACACGTTTACATGCTTATGATACAAAATTATAACTCATGCAATCTATGTATTTAATCTACTGTTAATTAAGTAAATGGTTATAAATTTGAGTTATTTATTCCCTCTTTACCTGCATTGTCATTTTTGCATGAAATGTTGTAACACAATTAGGATGACTAATTATTTCTGTGTCATTTGTTTCAGACTATAGAAACGGCAGGGACCTCCAGAGCTCCACCCTCTCTGTGCCTGAGCAAGTCTTATCGTCCAATCACTGCTCTCGGTCTGCTGATATCAACAGAGCGCGCTCGCGATCTCCCAGCATGCCTCCTTCTCAGAGGTAAGACACATTTCTATCTCAGTATTATGTTCTGTCGGAAAAGGGTTTGGATTTCTGACTAACATTTGATTCAAAAGCCCGAAAACACAAAATGTAAAGGAACAACTGTGTCTGTGTGAGTGTCAATGCATCAAAGATCATCAGTCCTATGCTAAATTCAGCATTTTATAATGTTTGGTAAAAAAGTTAAATGGGATAGCAAGTTAATAGAGATGATGGTGAAAAGTGGTTTTGCAATTGTATATGAATATTGTATATTTAATTGTATATTTTACAAATATATATTATTTTAATAAAATAAATCAGTATGTAGATATATCAGGCTATATCAGTTTTCACCTTTAACTCTACTTAAGTAATTTTTTTCAATTAATATTATTATTATTATTATTATTAATAAACTTTTTTTATGTTTTCTTGTAAGTAATTTGTCATAAATTGTTAAAAACAATAAACAATAAAAGTATAAATGTAAAATATGATTTGTTTAAACATAAATACATTAGCTTTTTACGTTATATTTACATTATAATACATTATATTATAATATATTCTTAATAATACTACTACAAATAATAATAATATTAATAATAATAATAATAATAATGATAATAATGATAATAATAATAATAATGATAATAACGATAATAATAATAATATTAATAATAATAATAATAATTATTATTATTATTATTATTATTATCATTATTATTATTATATGAATGAGACGTTTTGTAATATTTTTATTATATTATACTTTTATTATATTATAATTATATTATTTATGTATAATTATATGATTTATGTATAATTATATGA